AGAGAATGAAGAAAATCAATACCATCAGTCAAAAGAAGACCGGGGCCAATCGTGGAGTAAACATCGATTGCTCATGTGCAAGTTCAGGTTGAAGCAGAAGAAAATTAAAACAAGCCCCCAGGCTGTATCGCACCTGAATTTGAGGACCTTGGCACACTGAACGCTAATGACAGAAGGCCTGATGAGCCGCGGCGGCGTACCAGGAAGATTGCACACGGACAACCAAAAGCAAAAGGACATTCAAGACACAGGAATGAAAACAAAGACCAAAGTGGATGTCAGAAGAGTCTCTGGAACTTGCTCTTAATCGTAGAGTTGTTAAGGCGAACGGAAATCGTGAGGAAGGGAAGGAGTCGAAGAGACACGTTCCAAGGGCAGCTTGCAACGACAAAGTAAAGCATGAGAATGCAGACTGGGTCTAGGGAACCCAAAGGAAGACTCTCAGCACGTCTCTAGATGAAGTGGCAGAAGGAAAAGCTCAAGCCTCAAGTTGAAATGCTGATGGATTCTACGGGGCAAACGATCGAAAGCCAGGACAGTCTTGGACCCCCGGGTGCTGTTCTACCCTGTCCTGTAGGGCCGCGACGAGGCTATATCAGCTCCATGGCAGTGGTGGCAAACACACTGAATTATGCAGGAAATCCCAAGGGAGATGTTAGGAGCACAGAGTCACTGTTACAAAAAGAACTAGTACAAGTGCCACTCTCTCAAGATCGCATATGGTCACCAAACAGTGGTTCTGCAGAAGTCCAAGCTGCACTGAAGCCATTAGCCCAACACAAGGCTTCAGGGACTGATGGACTCCCAATCAGAATGTTTCAACAAGCTGATGCAGGGCCAGAAGCACTCACTCAACTATGCCAAGAAATTTGGAAGACAGATATCTGGCCATCCAATGGAAAGAAACCCCTATCTGAACTCATTCCAAATAAAACCATGCCACAGAATTCAGGGAAACTCCTAACAATGCCATTAATGCCACATGCAAGTAAAATTTTGATGAAGATCATTAAAACCCGGTCACAGAAGTACATGGACAGGGAGCTGCCAGACATTCAAGAGGAGTACACGGAGTGCGGACCTCGGCTGAAAAGAAGAGAGACTAGAAAGATGTCTACTCATTATTATGGAGTCTGCAGGTAATGTATTGAGCTGCGAACTGCAAGGTTAGCAATTCAAAACCACCAGCGGCTCTGAGGAGCAAGACAAGGCTTTCTCCTCCCATAAGCAGGTCCAGTCTCAGACACCCACAGGGGCAGGGGCAGGCTCACCCTCTCCTGCAGGGCAAGCTATGAGTCAGAACGGACTCGCTGGCAGTGAGTCTGTTTTGTGTTTTATGCAAAAGCACTTGATGTGTGGCCCCTAACTATATAGGTGGAAGAATGGGGATGCCAGAACACTCAGCAGGAAGACGACGGCCGGTGACACAAGCTTGGATGGAATGGGCCGGCTTACGGCCGCTGAGGCAAGTGCCTCTGAGGTTGGCAGGTCGGAGGGCAGCCACAGACGACGCCCAGGATCGGCAGGCAATGTGTTCAAGTTCAAAGAACTGGGAGCCGACGAGCCCGGTGCAGGTCCCAGAGGCAGCAGAGAGAAGCAAGAGTCCCACAGCATCTGCTTCTGCTGGGAGCAGGTCACACCCTGGGGAGACTGTCTTTCCATTGGCTGCAGCAGGAATGTGACCTGAATCAGGGAGCTGCATCCAGGCACAGCCTTCTTTTGACTGAGTGACTGTGATTTCGACGTGTTAGGATAGGCCACGGAGACTACCAGGTGTTAACTGCCCAACCACTGAGAACCCTGGCCCAGTCAAGCAGACACAGAGCCTAACTATCACACCTCAGGACATGTGTCCAGCAGGGCACCACCCTGCAGAAACATGCCACTGCTTTAAAACGCCCAGGGCTCCACCGCTCCCCTCCCACTGAGCCCCTGGCAGCGCTGCCCGGGTCCCTGAGTCTATAGTTTTGGCTTTTTGCCTGAGAGTTGGATCACACAGTGGGCACCCTTTCCAGACTGGATCCTTTCACCCATGTTCGCTCAAGTCAGGCCCCTCCAGGTCTTTCGGGGGCCTAACAGGGCCTTTATTTTCATGGCTGAAGGAGACCACAGCAGTTTATCTTTCTACCCACAGAAGAACATCTTGATTTCTTCCAGCCTGAGGCAATTACGAAAAGTGCTGCTATAAATACTTGTGTGCAGTCTTTGATGTAGATATACAGTTTCAGCTCAGCTGAGTAAATACTTTCCCCTTCTCTTAGCAATATCTGGTGAATCTTAAAGTATTACAATGATAGCATTATTTAACAAATGCTAAGGAATTCTCGGGTCTCTAGCGGGACAGGTGGCGGCAGAAGCGGGCGGGTTGGAGGTGACACTGCAAGGAGAGGCATGAGTGGACCCCAAAGGGTGGTGGAGTTTGGCGCCCACAGTCGTTCCGGGGTGGCTCCACGCCGTGAGCTCTCAGGACGGGGCAGGCTGGGTGCCACCTGCTTGGGCAGGAAGAGTTGGGTGTGGAGCATCTGTGAGCTGCCCGAAGCTATGGAAGGAAGAGCAGCCTGAAGGTCAGATGGGGTGCTGAGGGCAGAGGCCGGGGGGCTGCAAGGGAGCCCTGCAGGGGGTGGGAAGCAGCTCAAGTCAGACCCCAGGGGGACTAACAGGGGGCCAGGCTAATGGGCTGAGGGAGGCAAGAATGTTTGAGATGGAAGAGGATCATGTAGCACAAAATGTAATAAGTTACAAATTTTTTAAAAACCCTAAAATCACATAACACTAAACCTTGTGAATTAAACACTCACAGACACACAAAGAGAAACAGAGAGAGGATTTCAAATTAACTCAAGGGAGAAAGACACACTGCCATCAAATTGATTCCAACACATAATCCTATATGGAGTTTCCAAGGCTGTGGACCTTCATGAGAGCAGACAGGAAACCACCTTGAAATTCCATTTCTATTAAAGAGATTGGGAATGATAAGAGAGAATAGAATAATAGATGAGATGCAAAACGACGAGGCCAAACAGCAGACTCCGTCCATCGCAAACGGAGCTGAGGGGGCTGAGACTCCGCTTCCATGCCTGCTGCTGGTGGATGAGCGTTTCAGAGCCCAGGGCGGGTGCCACTGCAGGTGACGCTGGAAGTCCTCCACCCACTTCAGAGATCAAAATCTACCGCCAGATTGAGCAATGCACTAGGGAGATTAATCTACAGACTAGTTTGACTTCTGGACGTAGATGGGAACATGGAAATGGTGGTCAGTGGTCGAATTCCCACCTCCCACGAGGAAGGCAGGGGTTCCACTCTTGGCCAGCGGGCCTCCTGTGCTGCCACCAGCAGTCTGTCAGCAGGGCCTTGTGTGTTGTGATGCTGCTGAAGAGATTCCAGTGGAGCTTTTAGACTGAGGCAGACTAGGGAGAAAGGCTTGGAGATATACTTCCAAGAATCTGCCGATGAGAACCCCCTACCGATCTCAATGGCCCAGTCTACAACCGACCACAGGGCTGACATGAGGCCAGGTAGCATTTCGTTCTGTAGAGCACAGAGTCGCCATGGGTAGGGAGATAACTTGGTGCAAGCTAACGACAACACCACAGACAAGGAAACCCTTGTGAAATATTCTCAGGTGAAAGCAGAGCATGGCTACCCATGTTTTATTGACTGCAAAATCATTCGACTGTGTGATCATGATAGATTACAAACAACATTTCGAAGAGCGGGATTCCAGAACACGTCATTGTGCTCCTGTGGGGCATGGACACGGAGCAGGAATCAGCCATGAGAACAGACAAGAGGCTGCAACGTGGTTGGAAATCCAAAAAGGTGCCTCGCGTTGTGTCCTTTCACCACACTGTTCAACCTGTGGGACAAACAAACCGTCCGAGAAGCTGGCTTACAGTGGAGAAGAACAAAGCACCAGGGTTGCAGGAAGACCAGCAATCTGACATGCAGGTGACCCAGCCTTGCTTGCCGACAGCAAAGAGGACTTAACCTACGTGGAGATCCACCCTGTCGTCCTTAGGATGGACTTCACCCCAACACCGAGAACGTGCACATCCTCACAACCGGACAGGCGGGTGATAAACGCAGAAAATATCGAGGTTGCCAGGGATTTCGTTTTACTTGGATCCACAATCGATACCAATGGAAGCAGCAGTCAAGAAATCAAACCATGTATGACGTTGGGCAGATATGCTGCCAAAGATCACTTGAAAGTGTTCAAAGATGTTGCTGAGGACCAAGGTGCACCTGACCTAAGCCATCTTGTATTCCAGTCGCCGCATCAACGAGGACAAGCCAGAGAGAAGCCCGAGTGGTCGATGTATTTAAAGTGTGGTGTTGGTAAAGAATATTAAATCTATCACCTGCATCTAAGTTACGGTGTTGGTAACGAATATTAACTATACCACGGAGCAAGGAGAAGGAAAGGGAAGCTGTCTTCTAGGAAGTGCAGTTGGAACACTCTTCAGCAGGGAGCAGGGCAAGCCCTGAGCGCATGTCCTTTGGACATGTTATCAGAAGGGACCAGACCCACTGTGTTTGGTAAGGAAGCCCCGAATGGGGTGCATCAACCCCATGGCTGCACCATGGGGGAAACAACAATTGTGAGGGCGGGGCGGGGCCAGGCCATGTCTGTTCTGTTGTCAACAGGATCCCTGTGAGATGGGCAGACTCAGTGCCACCTACCAACCACGGTCGAATGTTAGAAAGTTGAACCCCGCACAGTGTGGGGAGTGTCGGCTGTGAAGGCTCGTCCCCATGCCGGCACTTGCCCCTCCAGGGTATAACCATGACTCCTCATAGGGGTGCAGGCGTCTCCCCTGGAACCCCGACCCAGCCTAGAGCTTGGCATCTAGCAGTCTGCTGCAACCAGCCAGCTGTCTGTGCCCACAGAGGCACCCCAGGGGGTGCGCTGAGCACGTGAAGGGATGCATGATCACGTTCCTTCCTGCCAGGACAGCCCCCCGGAGCCCAGGGCAAAGCCACAGCACAGGGCTCACCGCGGCCCCGCGACTTCGCAGCAGGCTTAATGATCCAGATGTTCCGGATCCCGTCGATCTCCATCTGTGGGTTGATGGAAGCGATCCTGTTCAGGAGATTCTGGCACTGGGACAAGTAGTTCTGGGAACTGGAGATGAAGGCGTCGCCACTACAAGGCAAGAGTCAGAGACGGGTGTGAGGAGGGAGGGCAGCCCCCTGGCCTGGCACCCACCAATGCACTGGGGGGTGGCCCGGTGAGAAGAGGGCAACAGCAGGCCCGGAACTTTCTCCCGCCAACCTGGGGGCACCTGGGCACATGCCCTGAGCTTACTTCTCAGGCACTGATGGCAATAACGGGTGTTGTACCTGGAGCGCGGATATGTGGCTCTGAGTTGTGCCTGAGGAGTTTGATGCCTGGGGCCAGGAAAAGCTCTGGAGTACAGCTGAATCCCCGCAGTCTCCCTGGAGGAAGTCCTCACTGCCCATTGAGTTTCTTGTCTAGCCCTTCAACAACATGGGGCTGGGGAGCTGCCTGACAGCCCTGGAGTCTGCTTGTCATTTGAACCCCAGCCCCTGTGGGTGGCCGTGTGGATTACGCACCGCTAAGCGCCCAACACAACCACAGGGCTCCTTGACAGTGTCCTAGAGTGGGCGTTCTAGAGACGCACCACCAGGAAGCTCATGCCTATGCATCACATACAGGTGTATCTGCAGAGAGAGATTCAGCGCAAAGCAACGGCTCCCCTGGTTGTAGTTTGTTGTTGAGTTGGTTCCAATTCACAGCAACATGGTGTGCGAGAGAGCAAAGTACCACCAGTCCCGCGTCCTCACCATGGTCCTTACACTCCAGGCCATGGTGTGCGTCCGTCTGTCCATCGTGGTGAGCACCCTCCTCCTTTTTGGCTGCCCTTCTACTTTACCAAGTACGATGTCCTTCTCCAGGGGCTGGTCTCTCCTGGACCTGTCCAAAGGCTACCCAAAGGATGTGAGATGACACCTGACCATCCCTGCCTGTAAGGAGCATCCTGGCCGCACTGCTTCCAGGACCGCTTTGTCTGTCCTTCTGGCCATCCATGGTACCTTCAATATTCTTTGCCAGCACCACCATTCAAACACATTGGTTCTTCTTCGGTCTTCCTGGGACCTCGGGTCCACATGACCCTGGACTCATCAGCCTGTGGTCTCCGCGGCTCCTGTGTCCCCTTGGGCAGCATTGTCCTGCAGCTCCGAGAATCTGAAGAGGCTTGGCTGGCCTTGGACCCGTGGGCTTGAGTTGGACTGGGGCGGGGACGGCTTCCTGAGGTGCAGTAAGTTCTTTCTTGGACGTAGACGAGGTCGCTGGGTTGTCTCTCTGAACCAGGGGTCCTCAAACTGCGGGCCTGCGGGCCACATGCGGCCACCGAGGACATTTATTCAGTCCTCTGGGTGTTTTTGCCCCGATTGTCTTTTCACTTCAAAATAAGATATTTGCAGTGTGTATAGGAATTTGTTCATAGTTTTTTTTTTAACTATAATCCGGCCCTCCAATGGGTCTGAGGGACAGTGAACTGGCCCCTGTTTAAAAAGTTTGAGGACCCTGCTCTGGACAATCCAGCCTAAGGCGTGAGCCTTCCTCCTTCCTGATGCCGCACTTCTTCACAGAAGCCCGCTTCTCCGATGAGTAAGTGTGGTGAGAGGGTACGACCCGCGGCACACGTTTCCTTTCAGAATTCCCTTGTCCTGTTGCCACAGCAGCCTCTGCATCCAGGTACACGTTTCCCAGGACCACAGTGACGAGTTCTGGAATTCCCATTCTTCTCAGGGTTATCCATAGTTTGTTAAGATTCTAACAGTCGAATGCCTTGCTATTCTCAGTTTCCAGCCAGAATGCATCTGACTTCAGCAACATTACCCCTTGCTCCACATCCCCATCTCGGTGAGTTCAAGGGAGAGGTCGTGGTGTCCTGGTCACCCACTGGCTGCTAACCACTCAGCCTGCAGTTTGAAACCACCAGTGGCTCCCTGGGAGAAAGACTGAGTTCAGTGGGGCCCTGAGCCCTGTGGGCAAGCATGCAGCCATGCACGCATCCCCATGGCAACCGCATCCGGGTCCTGTGGTGACTCCAGGGCTTTTCTCTCCTGAGACAGAGGTTCCAACTCCTAGTGGCCCTGTGTGCAATAGAAGGAAGCACTGCCCGGCCGGCGTCACCCTCACGGGCCCTGTGACGTGGGGGCCCCTTGTTGGTCCATGCCGGCACTCAAGAGGAACAGACTGACCCACACAAGCAAACAGAACCTCACAACAAACAGGAGGGGCAAGTTGTCTGGCGGGGTCGAGGGTGCCGCTCAGTCTATTTTCCCCAGACCCACCTCCAGCGAGTGGATTCCAACCCAAACCCTGCAGGTCAGCGTTGAGCCACGCCGACGGGATTGTTAAGGCCGCGCCCGAACGTCGCCAAGGCTGTGAGTCGTTGCGGAAGCACACGGCCATGGAGTAGCCAGGAAGTTTGGGCCACTGACCTTTCTGTTAGCAGCCAGCACTTAACAGCTGCCCCCGAGGGATCCTTTCTGTGTGGGTGTCAACTCGTAACTTAGCACAGAGTAGAATTGCTTCATAGGGTGTTGTGGCTGTAAGTCCTTCTGGGAGCAGACAGCTCCATCCCCACACAGCGTGGTCAGTGCCTTCAAACTGCCCACCTTTCCTTTGGCAGACCAATCCGAAATCCACTCCCGGAAGGCTCCCTCTCCCCATAGCTACATCTTTCCATAAGACTAGACAAACCTGTTAAAATTCATCATTTCAAGGCTCTGAAATCAACGGAAGGCACAGGACAAGTTGAGAATCAGGCATCCATGACCAAATACTGAGGTGGGGTAACGGTGGTGGGAATCCAAGCTGGTCCTTCCTGGGGCATTCCCCACTCTCCTACAGCCCTGCACATCAGCAGGCACGGCGGTTTGACGGTGGTGGACAGGCACCTGGTCCCAGACAGCTACCAGAAACTCAGGTTGACTGAGCAGAGGACGAGGAGTGAGGAGCAACATTGCTGATGTCAGATGGATCCTGGCCAGAACCATGTTTCCTTGTGTTTTATTGACTACACCAAGGCTCTCGCTGTGAGTCAGAACAGGCTACGGGTTGCCTTGAGAAGAATGGGCGTTCCAGAACACTGCATTGTGCTCACACAGAACCGGTGCCTGGACCAAGAGGCGGCTGTGTGAACAGAACAAGGGATGCACATAGATGACACATCAGGACAGCTGTGCGTCAGGGTCGTGCCCTGTTGCCATGGTGATTCAATCTGTGCTCGGTCGGAAGAGAGACTCCAAGGCCATCTCAGGGTCAGAACTAGAAGAAAACTTATCAAACCTGTCAAACGCAGAGGACACAGCCTTGCTGGCTGAAAGGAAGGAAGATTTGAAGCACTTGCGGATGAAGATCAAGGATTGGAGCCTTCAGTATGGATTATGACTCAATTATGACTCCATGTACGATGGAATATGACCAGAGTCCTCTCACCAAGAGGGAACATCATGAAAAATAAAGAAAGGATTGAAGTTGCTAAGGGCTCTGTCTTGCTTAGACCCACAATCAGTGTTCATAGAGGCAGCAGTCAAGAGATCCAAATGATGCGCTGCATCGGGTCAATCGGCTACACGAGCCCTCTTTACAGTGTTGAACAGTAGGGAAGTGCCTGACCCGAGCCATGCATTACCCATCGCCTCCGATGCCTGTGAAAGTCGGGCCGAGAATAACGCAGGCCGAAGAAGCGTCCTGCATTTGAAGGGCAGTGCCAGGAAGAACATCGGCGGTGCCACGGGCAGCGGGGAACAAACAGATCTGCCTCGGAAGGTGTCCAGCGAATATGCTCTTTGGACGTGAGGACGGAGAGACTTTATCTCACGAGCTTTGGACATGCTGTAGGACAGTCTAGTCCCGTCAGAGGGCACCATGCTGGGCAGAGCAGAGGGAGACCTTGAATGAATGGATGACCCCGTGGCTGGCTGGCGGGGCTCAACACCGGGACAGTCGTGAAGGTGGCCAGGGCCGGGCTGTTTTTTCTTGTTGCATTCTGGGTCACTGGGAGTCGAGCTGCTCTGTGGGGATTTCAAGGCTGACACCTTCCAGAGGCAGACTGGGAGGCCTTCCACCTGAGCAGCCTCTGAGCGGGGGAGGCAGCCAGCTTATGGAGGCCCTCCGCTTGTAAGAGAGCTGTCGGGGTCCCTCCGACCCAGCAGGCATTTGTCCTGCGCTCTCAGAACTCCTTCTACGCAGCTAGGAGAACCCATCAGGATGCAGCTGGGAATGATATCATCGATGGGCCTGACCTAAATGACAACATGTTCCAGCGTTTTCAGAACAGAGCACACCTCCTGGCAACTGCAGGCCCCACAGGCTCCCCAAACGCACCTCAAACAGTCCTCGAACAGAGCAGGTGCTGGGCGAGGAGCAAGCCTCGGCAGCGGGCGGGCTCTTCGTCCGGAGTGGCTACTTGTGTACCTGAGCGAGCCTGGTTCTTACTCACACCCAGTTAGCCCGAGATGAGTCATGCGCAGCGGAGCTGGAAGGGGAAGCAGCCCCCGTTCTGGAGAGGATCCCGGGCCGCCTCACAGCCTCGTTAGGTGAGCTCCACGGCGTCAGTCCACCTCGAGGGCCGGCCTCTCTCACGCTGCCCCTCCACTTTGCACACTGTCCTTCCCCAGGGACTGAGACAAAGTCTGACCACTTGGAGACTCTGATGTTACTCCTCCGAGACAGATCTGTGTGTCCTCCGCCAGCTCATGGCGCTGTCCATGTCCTTGGCCGACACCGCCATGCGAAGGCATAGATCTTCTTCAGCCGTGTTTACTCAGCACCCAACTGACACCGCCATGCGAAGGCATAGATCTTCTTCAGTCGTGTTTAGTCAGCACCCAACTTTCCTGTGCAGAGCAGGTGGTTGAAAAAACCATGGCTTGGGTCTGGTGCACCTTCGTCCTCAGGGACCGACTACAGTAGAAACACATGAATGAACTGGACTTCATTTTTTAAATCACTAATTGAAGAAGATCGGTGTCAGGTGTAGAAATGGCTTTAAAAAGAGAGAGAAAGAGCTTGCTTTGTGGGCATATTTTCACCACAGTAAAAGGCACTACTTAAAATACCAACACGGTGCCATTAACAGAACAAAAGACAAACCACAGCCGGAGCGGTGATTCTTGACACAGATGGCCAACGCGGGCCGTGCTGGCGACCAGAGAAGGGCGCACTCGGGCCGGAGTGAGGCGGTGGATGGCCAGCTGGTGGCATTTGCGGCCATGAGCAGCACGTTCACGGCTGTCCAAGTGTGGACCTGCAGAGCCACTCTGAAGCTGTTCCGACACTGGAAGTCACCACATCCCACCCACCTCAGGATGGCAAAGATGTCCTGTTGGTGTCTCAGGTGCACCTGACCCGTGCCGTGGGCTTTGCAGGCGCCTCCTGTGCCCTCGAACGCTGGACAGCAGCAAAGGGAGGCGGGGGAGAACTGCTGCACGTGAGTGAGGGTGCTGGAGGAGAAGACGGATACGCGAACCCCCGACAAGCAAGCCCGTCCGTCTCAGCAGCACGGGCTCCTTACACGTGAGGACAGACAGCTTTCTTCGCACCGACCTCAATGCCTGCCAGAAAGACCTGCTGCTAAAACAGGGTGCCACGGTGGGTCAAGGGCGGTCAACAACATGAGGTAACCCCCCCCCCCCCCCCCGTGGGACCACAGGGTCTCAGGAGGGAGGGAGAAGGCTCTTGGTTGCACCACAGCCTCACCAAGGGCGGACACGTGATTACCATGGAGATGTTTGCACATAATGTTGCCAGGACCGAAACGGACACACCTCAACAACGTGGACCACGCAGCAACGGGCCCGGAGGGGAGTCTTGCTCGCAGACTTCTAATGGACCAGATGCAGCCACAGGCCAGGTGCAAACCCTGGACCCCGGGCAGACAGTGTGGAGGGAACCAGGTTGGGGCTGACCTGCAGTGGGGTGGGGCTTCTGATGGGGCTGGGCTACCAGAGGACTGTGGGGCTGCAATGTCCTTCATCCTGATGGACGTGGTGACCACGCAGGTGACTCCACAGGAGACCACGCAGGTGACCACACAGGGGACTCCACGCAGGTGACCACACAGGGGACTCCACGCAGGTGACCACACAGGAGACCACACAGGTGACCACACAGGAGACCACACAGGTGGCTCCACACAGACATAAAGTCTCACCACGCTGGGTGAGCCCGCTCTGCATATGCATAATAGAATGAAAGGTGAAAATTCGCTCGATTAGTTCCGGAGAAGGCAGCAACGAGGACCAAGAAGAGGATGAACTGCAGTGGATGGCGGGGGTGGGCTGCAGGCAGGGTTCAAGCCTGGCCCACTCTCCAAGTTGGATCCTCTCTCTGCTGGCCACTGGGAGAGGGGGCTGGGACCTGAGTCCCGAGGGAGTGGAGGCAGGCTCAGGCAGCCCCATTGGGTATGAAGGTGAGCTGCACCACTGCATCGACCCCTCCCGAGTTCCAAGAACGAGCCAGGCAGCCTGGCTGCAAAGGGGAACCTGTCCCCATCCCGTCTGTCCTGCATGGTGAGAGATACCAGATAGTCAAGGGCTGGAAGTCACCAAATGCACCCAAAAGTGTTCCCACAGGCTACACTTCCCTGGGCTGCTCCTGGTCCCCCATTCTGAGCCACACTGACCCGCGGTCACCCCGAGAGCCCCGGGCGAGTGAGTCTTACTGGACAAGAGAGTAGTACTGCTGCATCAGGTCACTCCACTCTTCCTCCGTGAGCAGCTCGGTGTCACCCTCGGGGACGTCGATATCCTCGTGTGTCACCTGCCCCAGGTAGGCCTGGCACACCTTGCATGCAGCATCAATGAGCTGCCCCGAAAGGCCAATGGGCAACTTGGCGCCAGTGTTCTCAGCATCTGGAACCCAAGGACAGGCACCTTGAGTGGACAATGCCCCTAGTGGAGGGATAGAGAATACCCCCCCACCCCTTTCAGTGGAGGGGTGTCCCCTGGGTACTGGACAGAGAGAGGGCAGGGAGCTGCCAGACTCCTTGGATGGAGTCCACCCCACTCCTATTGTGCCACATGGCTTCTCTACAGCCATCTGGAGGGCACACCCACACCTGAGCAGGTAACCGGCCCTCCTGCTCCTGACTTCTCACACAGCACCTCACTCTCCACCCTGAAGCTTCGAAACACTGGTGGGTCTCAGGAAGCATGGAGCAGCAGGTCCGGCATCCCTTATACAGGTGATAGGAAGTCTCCAATGGCCTGGACCACTCACAGCAGCCTGGCCCCCAGTTAAGAATGTGGGAGATTGACTAAACACCCAACCAGCCAAGTAGCTGCTGAGAGGGAAGAGGAACCCAGAAATGCGCTGCAGCTGCTTGGAAGATGTGTGGAAACAATTCTACCAACTATTCAAGATCTATGGTAGTGCTCTTGCTGTACTCAGAGGTAAATTAATAGACTTTAATCATCTCATCATGAAAAGAAGATGATGAACAGTAGTTTATGCATTCCACTTAGGAGTTTACAGGAAAACCAAAGAGGAGCACATTTAAAAGAACCAACAACATAGGAGGTCTACATCGTGAAGATCAAAGCCAAGTCATGCCAACCAGAAACAGGAAATTAAAACCAGAGTTGTACAGAACCTGTGGACAGCAGATGGGAGTCTGGGCTCCTATCTAATTCTAACCCCAACCCAAGAACACTTAGTTCTTGTGACATGACCCTACTTGACACTCACCCTCAGGAAGATAAGGGTGCTAAAGCAAAGCGTGGTCAAGAAAGCAGGCGGTGCCCAGCTATCAACTGGAATAGTGTCTGGGGTCTTAAAGCCTTGTATCTAAGCAAGTAGCCGTCTAAATGCAGCATGAACTAAGTCCACACTGAAGAAGCACACCAGACTGTGTGATCCAAAGATGACAATAACAAAATCCAAATACGATGAAGGGAAAAGTATTAGAGTTTAAATTGTGAACATCCAATTTACAGAAGGCTATGGAGGACAGTGGGAGCCCAAAACCCATCCGCAGAGCCTCTGGTAGACACCCCATCGCCACACCCCCCAACCTTTGGCCAGAGTCGAGAGATGCCAACAGCCTTACTATGTGAGACCAGAGATCATCTTAAACTTGATCATGGTAGATGGAACTATGGCATAACATGATCTCTGGTCCATTGACCTCCCTCTTGAGCCATCCCGAATTTGCTCTAGGTTTAAATATTTCTTGCTTGTTCCACAGCAGAAAATAATCTCTCTGGCTTATTTCAATATTGTCAGTAGTCTGTTCTTTCTGCCTTTTTCATTGTTTTATTGTTTCTGTTTTGTTTCTGAGTTTATGAAACGCAGAAGTAGTGAGTGCCTAGGGACCGTAACTGATGTCATAGGGAGAGGTTGAGGGAAAGTGGGAGCAAATAATGAATGCAGAGCAGGAGGGTGCACTTGAACTTTATGTGAAAATGCATACGCAGCTCTTTTTTAAAGTGACTTGCCTATGAGGTGTATAATATTTTATAACACCAAAACTCCTGGGCAATATCATGAAATGTAGATAACAGGAATCTGCCAAACAAGTTTCAGTATTGACTCAAAGTTAGTAGCTATTTAAAAAAATACTATTTAAACTAACTTATGACACATTTATCTGGGAGAAGAAACACAGGAATATCGGTGAAATCAAATGCAAGAGCTCTGGGATGGGGAGGGAAGCAGAAAAGCACTGTAGCAACACAAGTTTCAGCTACATCTGATTTTAAATCATGAGAAAGTAAATCTGTAGCTTAGAAAGGGAAGCTGGGCCCGGTCTGGAGGCACGGGGCAGAGCGTCGAGCAGTGCTCGTCCCAGCCCCTCTGTGCTTCTGTTTATGCTTTGAACTGAACTTGTGACTGCAAAGTGAAAGGCTGCAGAACAATCAGGGTCAAGTTCAACGGCTCCTGCATTTTGCTCCATCTCACTCGTGCCAGCCCCTGGATGTGAGACGCTGTATACCGGACGTTCCCCCTGCGTTCCGTCTCCCTTCCTCCTCTCTTAACCCTCTGACCTTTGTCCTTCAGCCGCAAAGGGCTGATGAGGCTCAGGTGTTCAGACCTCCCTTATGCCATCTTTCCCCTGACCGCTCTCATTGGGTTGAAAACTGAGCCACGACCATGTGTCCAGTGCCAGACCTGAGGGTGACTCGCGGCCACAGTCTAGTCTCCTTGGTGGCTTTCCGTTCTGTCCGCTCGACCCAGGACCTGCTCACGTGATCCTTTTCCGGGTCGTGTGTAGACTTATCTGGGCACCATCGAGTTCCCCCAGTCTCCGGACTGTGGAGACCTATGTTTGTGGGGCTCGTTAGTCCACGGAGCTCATTGTTTGCACGTAGCATCAGATTCTCCTCACTCTTCTTTCCTCTTGATGGGGAGAGACCGGCGTTTGTACCTCAGCTGGCCACACATGAGCTCTTAAGACCCCAGCCGCTACTCGCTGAAGCAAGTGGAGCACGCCAATGGACCAAAGTGTCCAGGCCAGGGACTCATCCCTCGGTGTGTGTGGTGATGGCTAAGAAGTTGCCGGGCCCTGTTGGCTCCACTACGTTCACGGCTATCTTTGCAGCTAAGGCATTGGCCCGTGAGAAATACCCGGTCACTCCTATGTATGCATTTATGGGTGTCTTCCCACTCCTCCCCACACCCAGGCCACCTGCAGGTCCATCAAAGTATCTGTTCATGTGGCTGTGGCTGTTAGGCGCCATCGGGCCGGTGCCAGTCCACAGCGCCCTTCACACAACTGACGCACACTGCCCGGGCCGCCCTTCTCGCGGCTGTGCAACGGTGAACCCGCTGCTGCAGTCCACCTCCGTGAGGGCCTTCCTCCTATCTGCTGCCCCTCGGCTTAACCAAACAGATACCCTCTCCAGGGACAACGTGTCTGAAGTCTCTCCATCCTTGCCTCTGAGGAGCCCTCTGGCCATCCTTTTTCCAAGATAGATCCATTCATGGAGCGCCGTCACTGCAGGTGGATAGGTAGACATCGTGTACCTATCAAACGATGTCTATATCGGTGTTTAGTCTAACCAACTGTCACTCTTGCACCCCTTCCAATGTCTTCCTCGACCCAGTGGTTCTCAACCTTCCTCATGCTGCAACCCTTTAATACCGCTCCTCGTGTTGTGGTGAACCCCCAACCATAAAATCATTTTCGTTGCCACTTCATCACTGTCATTTTGCCACTGCTATGAATCAGGCAACTCCTGTGAAAGGGTCATTCAGCCCCCAAATGGGTCACGACCCACAGGTTGAGAACCGCTGCTCTCCATCATTTTTGCCAACCTCCCTTTTACTGCCCACTGCCTTCCCCCTCACCCAGGTTAGCGCACGTCTACCTCTTAGCCTCCCACCTGCTGTCAGTGTGAAGATCTTTTCTTGACCTCCTTCAAGCATGGTCTCACACCACATCTGTTCTTTTGTGTTTGGCTGGTTCCCTTCAACAGAATGTTAACTTGGGTGCTCTGCCCTTGGAGTCGATAGGAAACATCTTAGATAATTCCCCAGAGGGGAAAGCCTTAAAGAAAAGTCTGATAGAGATGGTTACACCCACACTGAAACCCCCGGCAGAAGAGGTGCACTAGTCAAGGTCAAAGACCGACAACGGCCCTGGGGCACGGGAGGCAAGGGTAACGGCAGAAGACCAGCTTCACACAGCGCTGCGGCTGCTGCTGCTGCAGGCTCCCGCTCACGCCCGCCCGGGCAGCCTGCACAGAGAGGCTGCTGCTGGCCCCGTGCCAACCTCACGGCGGCCGGTCTGCTGAAGGTCGTGCTGCAGCCACGTTGTGTCCAGCGCCTCCACCTCCACTGTGTCACACGAGGCTCTCGGAGATCCAGGGATTCCCATCCGCTGGCTGCCAGACCTTCCTTGCTGGTCTGCCTTGGCCCGTAGGCTGGGCAGAAGCCTGTCCACTCCGGCTGGCCCTGGTGGCATTTGAAACGCTGGTGGCCAGCTCCTGCATCACCGAGACATGTGGCACATGGACAGGTGGGCAGTGGAAAGAGCTCAGGACCTCCAGTCTCCAGGTCCTCGTCCAGGTCCAAGCTGGGCCCCACTGCCCTGCACACACAGGCTCCCGTTCTCACCTGCGCCTCTGGCCTGGTGGGCTCACGAGGAGCCAGGGGCAAGGACCGGTGCTCCAGCCGGGTCACCCACCCTGCAGACCATGGACGGTGCTTATGTGACTGGCGGATCGCAGCCACCTAGGTAATGGGAGGGGAAAGACGGCCGACAGAAATCCAATCTCCGCTGCTGATTTAAAAAGCAAGCAAGTCCCTGGCTGGGAACAGAAGGGCACTCTCTCAACTTCAAGGACACAGAAGACAGAGGGGGAGGGACGCTGGTCTGGGGCCCTCGTTTCAACAGTGTTGGCTGGAACGTCCAGGCACCGCTTGACAACCTCCTCTCCAGGCGTACATTCCAGGACCATCTTCTGGACCAGCCCTTCTGCCTGCGATCAGATAACACTATTTTTTTTCTGTGGTTCGCCCCAAATCCTAGACCTCCATCACCCTGTTGCCCATCCCCCAAGCCTTGGACCAAATGGAAATATTAAAGCATCCCTTTGACAAAGAAAACGTATACACACAGCAAACCTCCCGCTGTGAACCTCTTACAATCAGGGGTTAAGACAAGGTTACCTGCTCTCCTTCCCAGCAGAGCAAGGCCAGAAGATGAATAAGTAAAAGGACCCATATTTTTACATGTAAAATCTTCTTTCACTGTCTGGAAGAAACGCCCGAAGGAATCTACAGTTACAGTATTAGAATTCGGCAGGGAGACTTCTCTCGCGTACTTCAGATACGCCGTCAGGAAGGAGCAGTGCCTGCAGAGGACACCCGGCTCAGTAAAGTGTAAATCAGAAAAAAGGTGCGTTGGCACAGTGGCTGCATGAAAGGGCTCCAAGGTGATGCTCCTGCGGATGGGGCAGGACCCGAGGGGCTTCCTTCTGTGGGCCGTGGCTCCCAAAGAGTTGGGACAGACCGGGCAGCACCAACAACCAGCACCTTACCTCGCCCACAGAGACCAACCCTTGACCGATGGAGCATTGCAATGAGGGAGAGGCTCAATTCACGGGAAGAGAAAAGACGTCTTACAAGCGAAAAGGAACGTGTATTAAAGAAGACTCAAAGCACAAACTAAAACAAAGGGACGATGAACTTGACTCCAATAAAGCTAAGAAACTACCTTCATCAAGAGACACCATACATGAAAAGATGGGCCATGGAGACCCATCTGGTCCATCTGTATGCCGAGGGAATCATCCGAGAAGCTGCATTCTATGAAGGAGACTGCGGCATCAGGGTGGGAGGAAGGCTTAGAACAACCTGCCGTGTGCAGATGACCCGGCCTTGCTCGCTGACAGGGAGGAGGATTTGGGGCACTTGCGGATGAAGACCAAGGACGGCAGCCTTCAGTCTGGACTGGACTCGATGTCAAGGAGACCCCCACCCCCACAACTGGACCACAGACAAGACCGTGATCAGTGGAGACAAGGTTGAAGTTCTCGAGGACTCCTTTGTGCTCGGATCCACATCGAAGCTCATGGAAGCAGCAGTCACGAGATCAGAAGACAAGTTGCACTGGGGGAATCTGCTGTGGAAAGCAGAGCCGTGACCTTGAGGACTAAGGTGCACCTGACCCGCTGCTTCGTACGAGGTGAAAGTTGGACGCTGAATGAAGGAAACGGGAAGAGTCGCTGTGGGCGGTGCTGGGGAAGGACAGGAAAAGTGCCACGGTCCCGAGGGACAGACCGCTGCCTCAGAGGAAGGACACCAGAATGCTCCTTAGAGGCGAGGATGGAGGGACTTCAACTTATGCTGTCAGGAGAGACGAGTCCCTAGTGGACAACGTGTTTGGTCAAGGGGCAGTGAAAACAGAGGAAGACCCTTGACCCGATGGGCCGGCACAGTGGCTGCAGCCATGGGCTCCGACACAAGCACCGTGGTGAGCGCAGGGCAGGGCCAGGGAGGGGCCCGGTCGGTGGCACCAGGGCCGCGTGAGTGGGAACCAGCTTGATGGCACCTAACAATAACAACCACACTTGTACTTGACAAAGAATATCCATCCAGAACACAGAAAATGATTCCTATGAATTATTCAGATATCAGCCTCGCAGGATACGGGGCCAAAGACACAGACGTTTGATAGCAGTCCTATGACTTCCTGGCCCCCTTGGCAATCACAGAGAAGTGCACAGAAACGCCGTGGTGAGGCAGCTCTGTCTGCCGCGAGGAGCTGCTGGGCTGTGTAGTCAGTGCCACCGAGGCCATCCGACGCATCGTGACCCCTGCAGCGGACAGAATGGAACCCACCCCGTCCTGCGCCGTCCTCACAACTGCCTCGGCGTCAGCCCACGGGGGAAGCCGCTGTGTCCACTCATCTCATCGGGCCTTCCTCTTCTCACGGCCCTCTGCTTCACCAAGCACGTCCTCCTCCAGGGACTGGTCTCTGTTGACAAGGCATCCAGAGTCTCGCCACTAAGGAGCCTCTGGGCAGACTTCTTCCAAGACGGGGAGCAACACTGAAGACCGCACCGAACCACTACCACCAGGCAAAGGTGCCTCGCGAAAGGGAGCTGGCGGGAAAGCCGACAACCGACAACCGGCTGGAAGCATGGAGCACTTGATCCGAAAAATGGACATTGCTTTTTAAAGCAACCAAACGAAAACCTGACCCACAGCCCTTGCCAGGGGTTAATTCGGACTCAGAGCGACCCGATCAGACCGGGAAGAACTACCCTGCAGGGTCCCCAGCTGTAGCCCTCGCTGCTGCCGGCTGCCACCTCTCCACCGAGGGGCTGCGGGGCTCACACTGAGCACCTTCCTGCAAGATCCTCGGGGTCCTAGCCACTTCCCAGCAGGGTTCCTAAAGAAAATACTGGAGATGACAAATAAGATTGGAGAAAGAAAAAAGTCATTCAGAGTCCTGAGTCAGCAGAGCACACGGTCAGGGAGCCCACAGTAGGTCCCTGGGGTGCTCAAACCAGAGAGGAGATGCAGCACCCCAGGGTGGTGAGGCAGCACAGAATGAAGGTGGGGACAGACACACCTGCAGGTGCAAGGTGGCAGTTTGCACAGCGTGCCAGCAAACTGCCCAGAATACAGGCGGCCACACCAGGAGCTGGGGTCAAGGCATGGCACGGAGCAAGCTGCCCCCCTCCCCCCAGGACAAGGAGAGAGATGACAGATGTCAAGGAGCCGCCTCCCTGCCCCAGCACACCTTTCCTGCGGCTGGGGTCACTGTCGCCCACCGCCACCTCCTCCTCCTCCGGCCTGCTCCTGGGCTTGGCCTTGCAGCTCTGGTGGCTGACAACCCACTTGAGGATGCTGGATGCCACCGTGCGCCGGAAGTCATCTGCAAGGACACCAGGCCTTGCCCCTCTGCCCGCGACGCCCAGGGCAGGTGGGCTTCGCTCCATTCCTGCAGCCCGGCCCCTCCCCAAGCCCCCACTGTCCTCCATCCCTCCACTGGATGGAGCTCGGGGCTGGAGGCAGCTTTCCCCAACTCACCCACCAATCTCCTCTCTGCCTGCCCAGCACTCCACCACCAACTAGCTTCACCCCACCACATGGCCCAACCACACCAACCACCCCTGCATCCCGCCCTCTGCCTCCACCAGATACTGGACACCCCTTGCCCCCGACCCCAACCAGCCCCAACTCCACCAACAGGTTCGGACCTGGGGCCCTCTCCCCATCCCCATGCCTGCCCCTCACTTCTGCTCCCTCCCAGGTGGGTCCCCCCAACAGCCACCGGCTCCTCTCTCTGCTCTTGGTCCTTGGATCACAGGGATCGTTCTAGAACCTTCCCGGCTTTCAGAGTCAAGAATGATGACTCCCATCTCAGGTAGTGCCCTCCCCACTTCACTGGACCTCCCTGGACATCTGAGCTTTAACCCCACCCAGCACAGAAGGCAGGAAGCAGGGAGGCTGGCCACCATGGGACTGGACGCATGCTGGGACACTGGAGAGGCAATGAGGGGTGCTCTGCCCTGTGCACTTCCTGTGCCCCTGGCTCTGCCCCCTCCAGACCCTGCCCTTCTGCCACCCCATTCTCTCACCCCTCTGGATGCCGTAGTGGACACCGCACCCACTCCTTGCCTCCACTCAGGACAAGATCACAGTGTCCCCTTTGAGGCCTGCCCGGGCTTCCATGTGGCCCCTCTTATGCTCATCAGTCAACCTGTACCCTCTCCCACTGGAGAGTGCAGGTCGGGAACTGCCCCACAGGTCCCCTGCAGGGCCCCAGGGGGACATAGGGGACATGGGGTTCCCAGGTGGGGTCAGGGCCACAGCTGTAAAGGCGCTTGGGTCCTTGGAACCTACCGGCCTCAGCTAGCTGGCTGTCCCCTCCTTCTCCTGGGCCTCACATCCAGTCTGCCTGACCATCTCCTCCCACCCAGCAGGGACCCTTCCCTTGGTCCAAGCCAGGGATCCCAACACTAGTCTGGGCAGGGGCCACCCCCGAGGTCAGTAGCGCCAGATGGATGCCCAGCCCCCCGCGCAGCCCCCTGGACACCCACTCACCCAGGAAGTCCTGCTTCTCGCTCGCAGTGCACAGGCTGTAGCAGCGCGGGAAGAAGGTGTCGGGATTCGCCTGGACGTACCAGGGCAGACTCCTCATGCTCATACACAGCCCGATCTCGGGGGACAGTGGGGCGTCAGCCCTCCTCACACGGTGCCATAGTGACTCTCTGCCTCTCCCACAAGGCAGAGGGCTTCCCAGCCCCAGGAACCAGGCCAGCCTCCTGAAGGGGGCCTCAGCACCCCCACAGAGCCAGGGACCAGGCAGCCCCCTGAAGGGGGCCTCAGCACCCCCCACAGACCCAGGGACAACCCTCTGGGCAGGCCTGCTGCCCTTCATGTCCACTCAGGCCCAGTGGTATCGTGGGGTCTCAGAGGGCAGGACAGCCCATCACAGAGCGAGGCAGGGAGCCTGGCTGCAGATGCTGGCCCTCCCAGCAGGAGACACTCCTCAAGGCCACTTTCCAACAACCTCACTGCCCCCTGCCCAGACCAGGGTGACCCAGACCGGGGACGCGAGGGTCCAAAGACACTTTGCACCTGCAGGTCCTGAGCTTCCCCTACCCGCCATGCCTGCCACCCCCCCAGCTGTCCCTCAGTTCAGCCAGACTGACACCCGCCTCCCTCCAGGGCCAGTGCTAGGATTTCATGTGTGGCTGGGGGTGGGCACACACTCACTCCCATGTCGGAGACTGCTCCAGCCACACCCTCCCACCTGGTCCCTGGGGCCACCTGGGGGCCGGTGGACACAGAGAGCCAGGTGGAAGGTGGGGGCCTGGCCTGGGCCCACCTGACTGATCTCGAGATATTCCCCACCCCCCGCCGCCGGTCACCCAACACAACAGGGCATCCACTCTTGACGAGGCCACCCTCCCTCGGCAGGCCCCCAGGGATCTGCTTGTGCCCACCCTCCTGGGGCCGATGACAGGGTGCCCTGGGCAGCAGTGAAGCCTAGGGGTGGGGGTGGGCTGAACCTAGCATTTGGGGGGCAGTGACCAGGGGATGGTGACCAGGAGCAAGCTCCCTGCCCACACACTAAGGTGGGTCCTTGGTGGGGGTGGGGGTGGGGGCAGCTACAGCAGGGACTCCATCCCACAACCACACCCGATCACACACCTCAGGGGGCCTCTGCCCTCCACGTGGGTGGGCTGCCAGGCGTGGGGGAAGGCTGCTGCTGGCTGGGGCCCGGGTCTCCCCAATGCTGCAGGACTACGTAGACTGGACACATCTGCAGTCCAACTGGGGCCCGGGTGGTGACCAAGGTGGCCCTGTGTACCACACACTGTGTGGGGTGAGGTACTGGTGCCCGGGTGGTGACCGAGGTGGCCCTGTGTACCACACACTGTGTGGGGTGAGGTACTGGGGCCCGGGTGATGACCGAGGTGGCCCTGTGTACCACACACTGTGTGGGGTGAGGTGCTGGGGCCCAGGTGGTGACCGAGGTGGCCCTGTGTACCACACACTGTGTGGGGTGAGGTGCTGGGGCGCCCTGGATCCTGACCACACAGGGGATATTCTGCTCTGTGGGTTCAGGGAGGCTGTGCAGGCAGGTGAAGGGGTGGGGAGGGGGAGGGCCAGGAGTCACAGAACCAAGAGGGGCACGGGTAGGGCCCACTGGATCTCCCTGTGGACAGGAATGGGGCCCCTGGCAGGCCAGGGCAGGGTGACAGGACCCCGGCTCAGGCTCGTCCACAAAGGAGGCTGGGGACAGGCGCATCCGGGGCAGAGCTGGGCCAGGACTGCCCTCCTCTCTAGCGCATGCACGTCTTGTGGGCACAATCGGGTCCCCAGAAGGAAGTGTGGCAGCCTTTTGTGTGCAGGTGGGGACAGCGCTTTCTTGGCAGTGCCAACGAGGTCACAGCGGGGAAGGAAGACCCCTAACCATTCTCTGGGAGCAAAGGCTTACACCTGGAGGCCCAGACGCAGACCCACTGGGGAGGAGGCGAGCAGGTGCATGCCTATAGGGGAGGGGCTTCTGGAAAGCACACCCAAGGAGGCCAAGGATGCTGGTGGACGGCAGGGGGCTGGCAAGCCCTGGCAGCCTGTGCGGGACAGGTGTGTGACCTCTCACCTTGGTGGTGAACGAGGCTGTCTTCCCGTAGTGGTTGAGCATCTGCTCACAGCTCAGGCTGTGAAAATCGATAACGTCCCTCTTGATGGTCCAGAGGAAGTACGGGGCCTCATTCTTAACCAACCTGGACTGGCAAGAGAGCCCCCTCTCAGTACCCAGCATCCTGTGGGCCTGCTGGACAGAAGGAAGGGTATCGAGGTGGGGGCTATCCACCTCCCTTCCCAGAGCCCTACATGCACGTGCACCCTCCCCCCAACACACCCACACACGTGAGGAGCTGAGACCTACCATCACGTCATGAATGTCCTCTGTCCTGTCCAAAGTCATGTCCAGGTTCTCTCTGGGTTCAGCACCTTTGCTCTCTGTAAAAAAAATACAGGGTCAGGGGTCAGGGACAGCCAGACCTGGGCCCCTGGTCACCGGGAGACCCCTTATCAAACTTGTGCCCATCTGTAAGGGTGGCACCATCCTGACCACCAGAGTCAGGCTCAGGGCATGTCCACTGTGGGCACTGGGGGAGAGCAGAGGCCCTGGAGCAGCCCCTTCCCTGCCCTGAGCCTCCTTGAGGAAGGGCCATCCCATGGGGGAGCGGTATCTAAGGGAGGAAGGGCATCCTGGGGCAGAAGGGACAATTGTCCAGATACCGAATGAGGTCTGGTCTGGCCGTGGACACCGAGGACACCAAGATGTGACCAGGCTCCTCAAGGGTAAGGACATCTGGGTCAGGGAGGCAAGGTGTCCTAACCCCAGAGGAAGGGGGGCAAGTGGAGCTGGGAGAGGATGAACTGGAGCTCCACCCAGTGCACACACCTCGTGTCTCTGTGACAGCACGCACACACACGCGTGCACACATGCACACACACATGGAGACCACCCCCTTCAGTGCCCTACCTGTCAGCCCTTCACGTCCATCCTCCCCAGGCAGACCAGCCTTGGGCAGAAAGTGGAACTTCTTCTCCACCCAGCCCTTCCTGCGCAGGGCCGCCCGGACCACGGGGTAGTGCCCACAGATAGAGAAAATCTTCTTTTCCTGGAACGGTAAGGGTGTGTTTTCAAACACGCACTGTCCCTGGGCTCTGTGAGCAAGGACTGCAGCCTTCCGCACAGACCACACTCGCTTGTAAGGAAGACCAACATCCTCACGACTGGACCAGTAGGTCACATCATGATGCGTGGAGAAAAAATTGAAGTCGTCAAGGATTTTGTCCTGCTTGTATCCACACTCGGTGCTCGGGAGCAGCAGGCGAGCTGCATCCCATCAGGTCCATCTGCTGCACAGGACCTCTCTAGAGGCCCGAAGAGCAAGGACGGTACCTGGAGAACTGAGTGAACACCAGCCCGCCCGACCCAAGCCATGGCACGATCAGTCGCCTCCCGTGCATCTGCAGGCTGGAATGCTGCATGGCTGCATCTGCAGGCTGGAATGCTGCATGGCTGCACCTGCAGGCTGGTGAGGAATGCTGAAAGTGCCGCGGACACCTCAGGAGCAAGCGGATCGGACTGAGGAGCCTGGCTGGAGGGCTCCTTAGAGGCAAGGACAGTGAGACTTCTCCCCTCATGTACTGACATGTTATCAAGAGACCAGTCCCTGGAGACAGACAGACATGCATGGTAACGTAGAAGGGCTTCAAAGAGGAGGAGAGTCACTGATGAAATGGGGCTGCAGCAATGGACCACGCATAAGAACGACTGTGCAGACGGTGCGGACCGAGCGGTGTTTCGTTGTGTGGTGCACAGGGTCCCTGTGAGTCGGAGCCGACTGAGGGCACCTAACCATGACAGCAACAATACTAAATCAAATAACCGAGCAGCAGGCTGTTTCTCTACTGACGTTCTCAAAGTGGAATGATCCCGGCCCGGCGGATGACACCACAGCCTTGCTCAAAGAACCTCCTGAAACATCTCCCAGACAGGGTGCAGGTGTGTGCGCGCAGGTGTGAGGGTGCAAGTGTAGGGCACAAGTGTGAGGGGAACAGGTGTGGGGCAGGGATCTTGTACACACAGGCATACACACACACTTGTTCACATATTCACAACACATGTACACTCAATTATAGACATATATGCTCACATATATGCATATTCACATACACTCAATTTACATACACATTTACACCTGTGGTCACACACACAACTCACATGCACATGCTCAGCACATGCACAATCACACATTCATGTCCACACACGCTTCACATACTCAACTCACATACACAAACACATACCTACATTCACACACTCAGACACCCCCCACATACACATACACTCACACACAATCCACATGCATACACATTCACACATACATCCCCATGTGTGTACACATACACATGACACAGGGATGCTGCTAACTGTGGGCTGCATTCTGAAGACTGGAGTCCACGACGGGATGGCAGGCCGTGCTGCTGGGAGCTCTGCAGCTGGTGACAGGCACCCAGAGGTGTCTTTTCTTCATGGAGCGTGAGTGTCCCTCATGCTCTGTGTGGGGGCAGGGATGTGTGGGTGCCTGAGGGTGGAGGACACGACAGGGACTTGGGGTCATCAGTTGCCCAGGGGACAGGAGGAGCAGGATTGGCAACAGCAGCAGGGACCCCAAGAGGGTCGGGGCAGGGGTCTAGGAGAGCTGCCCAGCCGGCGTGGCCATCTGTGACCACGCTGGTCATGACGAACACTCAGCCCACACTGTGGGGTCTCCTAGCGCTGACCACACAGAACTGGACCTCACACTCCCGTGGCTATAACACCGCCCAGGGCAAAAGGAGTGCGATTTCCCAGATGTGATGAGGGTCACTGATCCGTGGTCCTTGAGTTCATCAAAAGGTCATCCTAGGTGGGCCTCACCTGGCGAAGCTCCAAAGTGGATTTCTGACGACGACTGCACAGCCCTTCTGGAGGCGATCAAGCTATTGGGTTACATGATACGTTAATTAGAGCTCAATTTTTAAAAAGAAGAGATTTGATGAATTGAACACTGAAGACGGTTGACCGGATGAGCTGGGGGTGGACGTCAAGAGCGTCCCATGAAGAAAATGAAAGGTCATTGAAAAGACAGGAGAGAAAGAAGAAACCAAAACGGCTGTCAGAGAGACTCTAAAACTTGTTCTTCGCTAAAGTGAACAGAAGAAATGATGAAGTAAAGGTACTAAACAGGTATTAATGGGCAGCGGAGAAGACAAAGTAAATTAGGATGATGAAATAGGTAAGGTCTGGGAGATTGAAAATCCAAAGGGTAATTCTCAAAGTGAAATAACTGAAGGAAATGTCAAGCCTTGAACTGCAATACTGAAGGATTCTACGGACAAGATGTTGAACGATCCAAGAAGCCACACAAGAGGATGGAGGGAATACACAGTCTCTGTTCCCAAAAGAGTTACTGTCCAACCATCTCAAGCTCACACTTGCGGCCATGCAGTCCTTTCTGATTCTTGATGACCCTCCAGTAGAGGGGAGACCTGCCCTGGTGGGTTTCTGAGACTTTCACTCTTTATGGGAGTAGAAAGCCTCACCTTTCTCCCACAGAGCGGCTGGTGGTTTTGAACTGCTGACCTTCAGGTTAGCAGCCCAACTCATAGCCACTACACCACCAGGACGTGTTCAGCCTTTTCCATCGGCAGCATAAGATAGAAGGTCAAGCTGCCCTGAAGACATTGGTGAAAAACAAGGCCCCAGGGAAGTGGCCACACACCTGTGCCAAGAAATAACTGGAAGTGACCCGTGTGTGTGCCAACTTCAAAGTCAGAGGACACCCAGAATGTGGACTGTGTCTTCCATGCCTTATACACATTGACTGGACTTAAGCATACAAATGTTTTTGGAAGTTTCAGCATTCCCTCAATCACTGATAGAACAAACAGACTTGGAAGAAGGGATCTGGGGTCTTAAAGGCTTGAAGACAAACAGGCGGCCATCTAGCAAAGAAACAACAAA